AGCTCACGGTTGGCAGCGCCTTCGCCCCAGTGGGCGGTGGGGCGCCTGGCCCGGGGCCCTGCGAGTATTTCAAGGACTCGAAGCGCTTCGGCCACAGGTGCCAGGGCGGCATCATCAACAAGCCGGGCAAGTCGAGCCCGGAGAAGCCCCGCCAGGGCAGCGCTGCATCCGCGAGCGGGTCGACGAAGGCTTCGCCGATGGACAGCGACCAGCTGATGCCCAGGGTGCCGGGCGGCATGACGTCAAAGAAGGAGCGCGGCTGCTACCTCTTTGATAAGGCAGCCTCCCAGTCCAAGCACAGCGTGGCGCCTGGCAAGTACTCGCCGCAGTATATAGATGCGAAGCCGAGGGCGGCGTTGTTCGGCGTGCGAAGTGTGGGTGCGCCAAAGAGGGACAAGCCGAACTTCGGTCCTGAACCAAATCTTGGGCCAGGTCACTACGAGGTGAAAAAGGACTTATGCGAGAAGAAGGAGCCAATCTTTTCAGTCCCGAAAAACCCTGCGACGTCATACTTGGACGCGCTTACCAAGCACTCTGGCGAGACGCCGGGACCAGGGCACAACCTGGGACTGAACTTGGGCCTCTACGCCAGCAAGGTCGAGGACAGGGAAGGCGCGCGCATGCACTCCGCGCGCATCTTGGCAGAGCACATCTTGACCCCCCGCAGGGCTAGCGCCGCCGTGTAGTCATCGCCGCTGGGCTTCGCGCAGGGCGTCTCCAGCTACTCTTGGCTTTTTCGCCCTGCCTCCGCTCGTTCAGAGGTCTTCCCGTCCTCTCCTCCTGTGTTCCCTCAGCGCACGCCCTCGTATTGCCCATGCTCCATTCCCGACGAGCCATGTCCTGCACGGATCATACTGAACAGTATGCCTTCGCAGACAAGGGTGGCCATCTTGGGTATCGTGAGGCTGGCGCCACATTCGCCGACCCACTCATCTTCCCCGACCCCTCCTGTGTTGTTGGATCCTCTTTTGAATTCGCCGCGCCGCGCGTCCCCTCCTTTCTTGTCCTCTTTCTCTTTAGTCATCGTCATATTCATCACCATCACCACCATCATCATCAAAATCATCATCACCATCATCATAATCATAATTATCGTGATCATCATAATCATCATAATCATCATAATCATAATCATCATCATCATCATCATTCATCATCATCATCATCATCATCATCATCATCATCATCATCATCATCATCATCATCATCATCATCATCATCATCATCATCAGCACCACTATCATCATCTCTAACGCGAGTCGTGCCCCCATAGTTCCACTTGCGGCCCCAGTGAGGACATTCACATGCGTCCTTCCGCCCAGTTCGGCACACCCGTCGTGTGGTTCGTGGCCCCACAGGGAGCTCCACCTACGGCGCCAGCGTTATTTCTCATGCATACCCACACCCATTTTGACACCCGTCACCTACGACCCTAGTGAGGGGGTCGACATGCGTCCCCCGGTTCATTTGGGCACAACCGCCGCGCGGATCTTGCTTCTTTGAGGAGGAGGAGGAGAAAGAGAAAGAGGAGGAGGAGGAGCAAGTGGAGCTCCCTATGAGGCCACGGCGTTCACGTGCGTCGCCCTGCAGATTTCCGGCACACCCATCACGTGGATCCTGGCCCCGCAGCGCGCTCCACCTGCGGCCCCAGCGGGAGGGCTCGCATGCAGGCCCACGCCCAGCTCGGTGCACCCCTCAGACGGGTCGTGTTTCACATGTACCGTGGAGACTCCACCCACGACCTCAGCGGGCGCGTTCGTATGCAGACCTACGCTCAACCCGATACAGCCTTCACATCGATCGATCGCGCCCCATAGGAGCTCAGTCTGCCCACTCCCGCCCATTCCTGCACATCCCTGGCGCGGAACGTGCCCCACAGGGACCCGGAATCCATCCATACCGCGGCGCTTGAGTATGCGGAGAGAGCCATGCCCTGCGCCATAGGCTTGGGCCCTTCATGAGTCTAAGTTCGAGGCTTGGTTTGTCCACCTTGGCGTTGCATGCAAGGAATATGACAAGAGACAGGGTAGGAGAAAACATGGACGATGAGGACGAGAAAGGGAAAAGAGGATAATGATGGGGAGGATAATGAGGAGGGGACGGGAGAGATAGAGATAGAGATAGAGAGAGAGAGGGTCAGACTGTTGTGCACATGTATGTATGTACATATACCTATACGACCACCCTTCGGGTGATAAGGAGGTTCGGGGGGAGGAACCAACGTCTCACTCGATCGGTCTCACTATCGATCTCACTATCGATCTCACTATCGGTCTCGCTCGATCGATCTCACTCGATCGATCTCACAATCGATTTCATTCGATCTACTTCATTCGATCGATTTCACAATCGATCTGACTATCGATCGCACAGTCGATCTCACTATCGATCTCACTATCGATCTCACAATCGATCTCACATTCGGTCTCACTATCGATCTCACTGTCGATATCACAATCGATCTCACAATCAACGTCATCATCATCAACATCATCGTCATCAAAGTCATCAACATCATCATCAGCATCATCATCATCGGGACACCATCATCTTCCTCATCACTTCATCACCATTGTCAACATCATCATCACCACCATCATCATCATCGGGACAGCATCATCGTCACCATCATCACCATCAGCATCATCATCACCGGGACACCATCACCATCATCATCGGAACACCACCATCGCCATCATCTCATCATCATCATCATCATGAACACCATCATCAACATCATCATCATCATCATCATCATCATCATCATCATCATCGGGTCACCATCATCATAATCAGCAGCATTACCATCATCATCAACATCACAATCATCATCGGGACACCATCATCATCGTCAGCATCATCATCACCATCATCATCCTCGGGACACCATCATCATCAACATCAGCATCATCATCACCATTATCCTCTCATCATCATCATCATGATCAAAAGCATCATCATCACCTCATCATCATCCTCATCATCAACATCATCATCATCATCATCGGGACACCATCATCATCACCATCATCATCAACAACATCATCATCATCACCATCATCAACAGCATCGTCATCAACCTCATCATCGGGACATCATCATCATCGTCATCATCTCATCATCATCTCATCATCATCATCAACATCATCCGGATCATCAACATCATCATCATCATCATCATCATCATCGGGACATCATCATCATCATCAGCAACACCATCATCATCAACATCATCATCGGGACACCATCATCATCACCACCATCACCATCATCACATCATCCACATCATCATCGACATCATCATCATCATCATCATCATCATCATCATCATCATCATCATCATCATCATCATCATCGTCATCATCCTCATCATCATCGGGACACCGGCGGGACACCGGCGGGACACTGCGCGGCACCGGCGCCCGGAGAGGAATCATTTGGTCCGGCCGCGCCTCAGCCAGAGGCGGGACACCGGCGGAACGCCGCGCGCCGCCGGCCCCCGGAGAGGAATCATTTGGTCTTGCTGCGCCTCAGCCGGAGGAGACTTTCTTCTCGCCCGCCCACGCAGCTTCTCCTCGCCCGCACGCACGGCACGCGCGAACACGAGACCGAAACCGATTTCCCGGTAGGGGGGCTCTCCGTCCCACTTCGATCTCACCCTCTCACCTCCGACAGAGAGAGAGAGATACATAGAGGTAGCGAGGTAGAAGTAGTGATTTTTATCTATATATATAGAGAGAGAGAGAGAGAGAGGAAACAAAAAAAATAGAGAGAGAGAGAGAGAAAAAAGAGAGAGAGAGAGAGAGAAAAAAAAAAACAACAAAAAAAAAAATAGAGAGAGAGAGAGAGAGAGAGAAGAAAGAGAGAGAGAGAGAGAGAGAGAGCGGGGGGGGCATCATTCTTGGGGCCTTCTTGCATTGTCTGGGGGCTCTCTTGGGGTCCTTGGGGTGTCTTCGAGGCCCTTTGGTAGCCTTTTAAGTATTGGGGCTCTCATGGGCCGCCTTGAGGTTCTTTTGATTCGTCTTGGAGCGACATTGGAGGCCTCTTCGGCGGTCTCGGACGCCCTGGAGGCCCGAGAAGAGGAAGTCCCCAGAGTACACTGAGGCGTTTGGGGCGCCTTTGGCGTTTTGGGGTGCCCTTTCGGAGTCGTCTTGGGGCGCTTCGGGGGCTTCCGAGGCCCCTTGGCGCTTCCGTGAGGCCGTTTGGGCGCCCTCCCGACCGCACTGGGGCTCCTTCTCCGTGGCCAAGCTTCAGTTGGTGTTCCCTCTCTGTGGCCAGTCTCCGAGACGAAAGGTCACCGGTGCCATCGGAGGTCATTAGATTGCTCGCTCGCGTGGTGATTCATGGAGTTGGGGCTCTCTGGCGCGGAAGGGGGGGGGTGGAAAATTGGTGTTCCGCTAATTTTCGGACCCTGGATTTCTTGCCCAAGGGGTCCTTTTTTACAGCGCCCTCACCGTAGAGGAGCGGGAGGGGGTGCGCGCGCTCCACGGGCCGAGGGAGGCTGGCGAAGCCTATCGGCGGGGCGCCGGCTAGAAAGGTACAGGAGGAGGAGGAGGAGGAGGAGGAGGAGGAGGAGGAGGAGGAGGAGGAGGAGGAGGAGGAGGCTTCTTCGGAGCTTCTTGGCACTTATGGGGCCCCTGGGGAGCTTCCTGGGGGCACCTTGGAGGCGTCTTGGGAGCCTCCTTGGACCTCTTCAGGACCTTTGGAGGCTTTTGGGGGACCTCTTTGGCCGTCTTGGGGCGTTCCTGGCCAGTCTGATGCCGTCAGAAGCTGTCTTGGGGGCCTCTCTGAACCGACTTTGGGCGCTCTTGGGGCGCTTCAGGGCCGTCTTATGAGCCATTCTGACTCAAGACATTTTTGGCTCAAGGAAAGGATGACACGTGTCATGCCCGCGGCCGCCACCTGTGCCATGGCAGCTCGCGGCAAGACCGTAAAGTGCGACCCTATCGAGACGGAGACATCGAGAAGCGAGTATAGACGGGCGTCTGGTGGGCATCGTGATGCACCTTGCCAACATTGGCAGGAAGCTAGAGCACATGGCCGACCTCATCACGCATAAGCACTTTGTGGGCGACTCTGGGCCCGTGGACACGGAGCGTGGTGATGTGATTAAGTGTGCGCACGCGCGTCTAACACGAACTGAGTTCTTGCTGGTGAGACCGCCGTTGACCGAGTTCAAGGAGTACGACGAGATGATCGACAGCTCGACGGAGCTGCGCACTACCACTAGAGTTCTCCCAGGACTGCTGCCAATGCCCGAATTCCTGCAGCTGCACGGCGACCAACGACAGCACGCCGACCAAGACCAACAGAAACCCGACGGGGACCAGCTGAAGCACGAAAGGCAACAACACGACGGGGACCAGCATAATCGCGACAACTCAGACGTGAACCAGCACAAGCTCGACAAGGATACGTACCAGGGACAAGCAGCTGCCGAACGCAGACGACAACGCACAGCAGCACGGCGTTCAAGAACAGCATAAGCACGATGGGGACACCGCGAACTAGCCGAAGCTCGAACATCGCACCCAAGACCAGATATAACCAGCATCGGCAGAACGAGCGCGTCGGTGCAGAGGGGCACGACAACACGTCACTTCCGAAAGCGATCCCGAAGACGGAGGACGGCGACCAAAGAAAACAATACTGATAATAATCAAGCAACCATATCAACCAGGTCTACGACAAAACGAAGTACACAACGACTCGCCATACGAGTACAAGACCATCTAAGAGGCTACGGTTTCTCCACCCCGGCCGTAGACGGCCCGCGCACGCGTGCATGCACACTCGCACGATGGTGGGCGCCCTCGGAAGCCGTCTTGGGCGTCGTGGACGCCTCTCGGGGGCCGACTTGGAAGCTTCTTGGGCCGTCATGGGGCCATCATTGAGGCCTCTTGGGCGATCTGGGTAGCCGCCTTGGGCCGTCGGAGTGTCAAAAGGCAACCAGTCCTAAAACCCTGCAACATATCTTACGGAACTCAATGACTTGGGCTCTTCGGGTCTTCAGCAGGATACTTAGGAGGCCGTCGTGAAGGCTTTGGGGTGGCTTTTTGGTCCGTCTTGGGCCATCTTGAGGCCGTCCTGGGGACAGTTCGGTCCGTTTTGGAGACATCTTGGGGCCATCGTGGGATTTCCTGGGGATGTGGTAGCCGTCCTTGAAGGCCATCTTAGCCCTCCTGGGGCCATCTTAGGGGGCGATGCCACTGGAGAACGAAATTGGCAGGGCCTTCGGGGAGGCCAGCGGGATGGGCCGACTTGGGATTTTTAAAAGGACCAAAAACAGCCCAACGTTTGGCGCGCCGTGCGCCCTTGTGGTAAGGCAGCAAAAGGCGGCGGATACGAATGGTCTTCGGCCCATCCCGCCGCCGCGCCTGTCTCGGGGCCCTCATGGTCCGCCTTCGGGCACTCTTGAACCCGAAAAAGTCACGCCAGAAGACGCGCCGGGGCCTGGGAGGTACGCCGGGAGCCCTGGGAGAGAAATGTTGTGCCCAGGCCTTTTCATTCACTTCAATCCAGAGGCTTCAGAACTGAGGGCTACAGAGGACCCGAGGACACTCCACCCCGTGCCTCGCAGCACGGTTGCGGATATTGTGCTGTGCGCACGGGGGACATCGGGAGACCACGCGGGAGATCATAGATCCTACGGGAGTCCATATGGGAGACGACGGGTCACGAGCCACCGAATCCAGATCCGGAGGGGCTCACACGCGCTGTAGACATTGTGTATAGAACCTTACAGACAAGCTTTTTAGTGAATGTAAGAGTACGAATACGTTTGCCAGCGTGGACCACAGGCAGTGGGTTCTTGCACTGTGGATGTGTTTACTATGGGATGCGATATATGGCATAAAGTCGGAGGTTCTGGGGGCCTGGGGGGGACTGTTTTGGGGTCTGGTCGTTTCTGGCACGTCGGGGTCCGCCGAAAAGTTTCAAAAGGACGAAGAAACAGAAGAAACGACGAGAGGGCCCAAGAGGCCCAAGACAACCCAAATACGTCTGGAGGAGTCCCGAGGATGTTCAAAATGGCCTCAAGATTGCCCAACAGGCCTCCGAGAGACTCTAAGATGGTTCGAAGAGGATCTCCATGACGGCACCAAGAGGGAACAATCGCCACAACCGCTTAAGGGAAGCGCACACGCTTAGCATCTGCATGCGTGTGTCCCGCAAGGTATCATTCGACATGATTGGCGTGTGCTCGATGATCCGCGCGTGTGCCCGCATACCCTCATTTGACAGAACGGCTAAGTCACCTGGTTCCGTGATGAGTTCAGCAAGTGCGCGCGCAGATATCCTTTTCGTGGCGAAAACAATTCTGTGCTTTACCGCATTCGAGTCGCCGTGTCTGGACATGATTTGGAATCCCATTGCGTGTTTCAAACAAGTTTTGACATGCGCGCGCGGCGGCGCGCACGTGTGGCCCGCGTTAGTTCCTGGCGCAAAGGATTCTTACAGAAAGCACGTTTTGTGTTAATGCACGTGTGCCTCGCATAGTGTTACGTGAAAAGGATAATGGGGGTGGCGACGTCGGGACTCCCCAGGGGTTGTATCACTCGACGCGTCGGATGAGCGATCGTGGAGGATCAATTACAGAAACCATGCGCGGAGGGGGCCGCTAAGTCGGATTCGGCCGGGGCTAGAGTCAAATCCTTTTTCAGGAGATGGAATAGGTGTGGTGCCAGCTGTGGAACCCAACCCAGGTCGTGCAGTCTATGTTGCGCAAGCAACTTTGACCGAGTCCGCACGTGACCGCCAGTCCTTGCGCAAACATCCCACCCGCCCACCCACAATGTCTTTGGGACAAAATTCAATTGGGCTGCGACAGCGACGATGACAATGACGATGATGATGCTCATGCCAGTGGTGAGGATGATGCCGACGACGATGCTGATGGTGATCCAGCTGATGGTGATGATAACGATGGTTGCAATGACGACGGTGGCGATGATGGCGACGATGGTGCCTGTGAGGATGATGAGGAAGTGCGCGCGCTGAAATTTGACGATGGCGACGACGTCGACGATGACGATGATGACGACAGTGTCGATGACGACGAAGACGACGGTGATGATGACGATGGCGATGAGGATGACGATGACGATGGCGATTTTGATGGTTGAGACATTGATGAGGGTGATCATGACGAGGACGACGACGACGATGATGATGGTGATGATGGTGATGACTATCATGACGATGAAGATAGCAATGATGACCGTGGTGATGATACTAGCGATTGCACTGATAATGTGTGAAGAAACGTACCAAATTGCCTTTGATTGTTGTTCAATGGCTATGCGTTGAAACGGTTAGGAACCCAATGCTTATTTGTTGAAATGGATTTCGGCATGCGCGCGCGGCGGCGCGCGCATGCGCCGCTTGTTTTTTGTTGAATTCTTAGACAAAATACTTCTTATATCAACGCATGCGCACCGCATTGTACTATTTGACAGCGATGCGGTGGGGGCCCGATACCGGGACTGGCCAGCATGCTCTGATATGTTTTTTGGAATGAGCGCTCGCGCAGAATAACTGAGCCAAGTGATGCTCGGATGGGGGTGCCGTTACCCGCAGGGCCTCGGTGGGGGTCAGAGTTTTGTCATTTTAGGGCAAGGGGTAGATGTGGTTCACACACAACTTGTGTCGTGCAGTCGAATGGGCTGCAGGCTACGATAGAGGGAAACAATTAGTGAACACCCCCCCTGCCCCTCAACTGAAGGTTGGCACACGCGGGGGAGACTGCGGTCGAGGTGCAACTCATCAGACCCACCGCCAACTTTGAACATTGGGGGGAGGGGGAGGCGTTCACAGATGAATGTGGCATGAGTGTTCGCTAATTTTTGTCCGAGGCCTGTGTGTCGTGCAGTCTGTGTGGCGCAGGCCAGCGCACGAAGCGCCCACGGGCGGGGCGCCCGCGAGGCGCCCGCGGGCGCCCGCCAGGCGACTGTGTGAGCATGCGTGGCTCGTGCGAGCATGTGATTACGCGCATGCTCACACGCGTCACAGAATAGATGTGTGGATCTACCCATCCGTACATACAGAGAGAGACAGAGAGAGGGAGAGAGAGAGAGTAGGGGAACGAATAATGACATAAACAAAAAAAAACTCGGAGGTCCGCGCGGATTTCTCGGATCGGCGCTGGAGCCCCCCGGCGGCGCCTCCGGCGCCGCCCCTGGCGCGCTCCGCGCCAGGAAGGGGGGTCCAGCGCCGATCCGAGAAGTCCGCGCGGACCTCCGAGTTTTTATGTTTATGCCCATTTTGTTCCCCTAGAGAGAGAGAGAGAGAGAGAGAGAACAACAACAAGAAACTGTCCTCGATGTGGGCCGTCTGTGCATTCTCTTGGGCCGTAGCATCTCCTAAAGCCTCTTGGGTCCTCTGGGGCACTCGGTGTTCGAGGCCTCTTGGGCATCTTGACCGTCCTGGACGGCCTCGAAAGTAATTGCTGGCATCTGAGGCATACTTGAGAGACGGGGGGGCAGCCGGGACAAGACCAAACTGGGCCAGGAATGCGCTGAACATGCGGGGCTGGGCCGCCCTTTCGAGTCTGCAGTTCGGGGTATGGTGGTGGAGGGGAGCTGTGGAGGGAGAAGGAAACCAAGACTCGAAATTGACGTTTTCGATTTTTGTGTGATTGGAGCGATACAGACATATGCGGACGGCAGAAGGCTGATGAGGAGGAGGAGGAGGAGGAGGAGGGGGAGCGGGAGTGGCCGACCCTTGGGCCAGGAGAGGCAGGAGAGCTGCCGGGGGGAACGGGGTTCTCCAACACCGGTGATCCCAAAGGTGTCGGCGGCTTCTAGTCCACTCCAGGCGTTTGCCTCTAGTTTTGCCTTGCCTTGCCCAGCAGGCAGGGCGACGGCTCGATACGCACACGCATCCTCTCATGACCCATTCCTGTGTTGCGCATGCCCACATGGCGAGCAGCTGTATGATTATTCCTCGCCGTAGCCGTAGCAAGTTGTCGTTTGAAGCAATCGTCAGGTTCCTCTTGCTGTGGCTCATCCGCTCTTCTCTCTCTCTCTCTCTTTCACATATTTTCCATCCTCATCGTCACAGTTCTTTCCATTCCTCTTATCATCACCCCCGCGACTCACGCCTGAATCCCCCAGCCCCCCGGCCAGATTTCTTTCCTTCTGTGGGGGTCCACCTTCGCGGCGAGTCGTTAAACCCAGGACGCCTGGCGGTGCATAAAGTTGTTTCCTTCTTCCGCGCACGTATTGCCACTGGAACCCTTGAACCCCTCCGGCTAGAGTGCACCTGGTATTTCCCTACCTAGGCTCTGCCTAGAAGGGTTCTTACCGTGTTGGCTCAAAGGGCTGGGCAGTGTTCCACGCCCCAGGCGGTTCCCCCAGGATCCGCCCCGCGGTTCCCCCAGTGACGTTCCCTTAGCTTAGCGTTGCTTATCTCATTTTAGCTTAGCTTAGCTTAGCTCAGCTTAGCTTCATCTTAGCTTCGCTTAGCTGTAGCTTAGCTTAGCTTAGTT